CCGCAAGGAATTGTGGGGCGGCATATCTCATCTCCTTTCCTAAAGGATGGTCCAGTGTATCCTATGCTAAAGGAGGTTATAAAGGAAGCATTGACCCACCTTTCCTTAACTTTTAGAGAATTCAAACGGCTCTTATCATGGCCGCCTCTTAAATGCTTCCGGGGTTAAAGGTGAAGTGGATCGTGAAAGGAGACAGGAGGGACAATTCGAACGCACCCTCAGAGTCGCTCCTAGTGACAGATTCTAAGAACATTCTTAAAAATCAGGAGATTTTCTAAGAGTTTCCCCTGAAAGTTCAGATTCGATCATTGTAAAGATAAAAGTTATTCACTAAGTGTCTTAGTCCTTCAGAGAGTTCCTCAGGTGTCAAACTGTGAGGAGGAGTGAGGAGGACTTCTAACAGGATGAAGAGTTCCTCAAGCTGAGGAGGAAACAGAAAAGTTCTTCAAACACGACATGAAGAATATTTTTATTGACTCATAGTCGAACAGACTTAAACGCTGTGCAGACATTTCAATCCCTCTCTGACTTCCTTCAGTACAAAGTGAGACATGTTGAGTTCCTCTACATGTGGTTACCTCCACAGGTGCATCCAGTCACTGATTAACCCTTTACCTGCTGATGTAACGATCAGTTGCTGCACAGGTGAGCTTTTTATTTTAAACATCTTGTAGAAGTTATACCTTTAAAGTAAGTCTTACATATTATCACACATATTCTAATTTACATTACATAATGTCTGACTAGATTCTATGATTCACTTTTTTTCTCCATTCTGTTGGATTAACTAATCACAGTTTAGAAAATGTGTCATACCTAGCAACGGGGTCGACCCCGCCTCCTCACCAAGATCACAGTTTCTGTCTCGTCTTCGCTCAGAGTCGCTCTGAGGATGTTCCTGAGTCACTTCGAGACTCCTTGTTGTGATTTGAAAGCTAAGTTAGGATCTCTGAGAGATTCTGAGAACGTGGATACGGACGCCTCCTCCCCTGATTCTCTGCAGGAGTTCTGTGACTTCACATCTTGGACTTTCATGTTGAAGGGTGGAGCTGGCTCAGACATTTATACGGTCTAGGCACAGAGGGGTCAAGAGTCCGCCCTGAGAGGGAAGGAGGCAAGGCAGGTGTCTGAGGAAAGGAAACGAGAAGGATGGTGGAGGGGGGCGTCGGTCTCTGGTCTAAGATTTACCTAAATATATTTGTAGTGACTAATTTTAACAAACACAATATTGTCTAGAAAAGTCATTTGAGGGATGAATGTGGGAGCTTTTGTGGACGCGTGCTTAGCTCGACAAAATGAATACAGTCTATTGATGTTGTGATTTCAATCCATTTATTGTAAACATTTCTGATCAATAAAGGAAAATGCAGAGAGAGAGAGGAGAGAGAGAGAACCACTACGTCTATAAATAAAACAAACAAATCCGCTTTGGGTGCGATAACTCTGACAGGCTGACACGATAGAAAAAGTGTTTGCTTCCATTCAGTCACCTGTCCCACCTCACCTGGAGCCCTGCTTTAAACACAGCATCCGCCCAGGCTACACATAGTGCCCAGTAGAGGGCCAACACACACAACCAAAGGAAAATACCATGACACAAAACAAACCTATAATTTGGCTCCAACTATATTTGTTGTTGTTTTGGACCTCTCTGAGTGCTTTATAAACCAGCAGCAGAGTTTTCTAATCCTCGTCTGGTTTGTGTCATTTAGTTAAAGATTCCGATTATTTCTTCTTCCTGTCTTTGTTGCTGATTCCCGGGTCACTTCATGTTTATCTTGAGTGTTATGTTATTTATCTTAATAACGATCCAGCTGTCCTGTCAGCTCTGATGAAGAAAGGCATCTGTGTCTGCAGACGCTCTGATTGGTCTTCTCAGGTCAAAGGTCGGCTGCTGGTGTGAACGCTGTGCAACTATTGGATGCTCTAAGTGGGAAAACATTGGTTCCTCTCAGACTCAAACAAACAGACGCTGGTTAAAAATGGGCCCCCCCATATGGAAACAATCTCCAGCCTCCATTAGAGCTGCCCACTCTGATTAACACGACGAATACCACCGCTGCCCCGGAGCGCCGGTCCAGCGCCGACGTGATGGACGACTGCCTCGTGGAATCAGCCCGCCTGAGCAGACTTATTGCTCTTTAACTCAGCCTGCAGAAAAAAGAACACAAACATGGCTGCTGAGTGACCTGCTGCTGCTTTCCATCAGAGCTGGAGTCATCCCCCTGTTAACAATCTGAGTGGTCAACAGAACCTCTGTAGTCCTCAGGGATCCTTTGGAAACCCTGTAGTCCTCAGGGATCCTTTGGAAACCCTGTAGTCCTCAGGGATCCTTTGGAAACCCTGTAGTGCTCAGGGATCCTTTGGAAACCCTGTAGTCCTCAGGGATCCTTTGGAAACCCTGTAGTGCTCAGGGATCCTTTGGAAACCCTATAGTCCTCAGGGATCCTTTGGAAACCCTGTAGTGCTCAGGGATCCTTTGGAAACCCTGTAGGATGGTCGACCACTTTGGTTTAGACTGAAAGAGCTCAACAAACATGGATCGCCATGAATCAGGACTCAAAGGACGGACTGAGCGGGTCCAGAGGGTGACCGGGAGGCCGACCAGGTGAGGATTTCCTTCTGAAACTATCTGGAAATGTTCAGGAGTGTTTGTGAGGATGTGTGCCGAGTCCTCAGAGAGATGGACTCTGAATCGTTTCAGGTTTTAAAAGAACAAAGATTTGACGCACAGATGAGGAAACATTGTTCCAGATATACCGAGCGGATTAACTATTTGTCTGAATTCTGAAATCTTTCTAATCAAATGGGGGCTTGTTGGTTTCTGACTTCCTGCGCTGATGGTTGGCTTGCTCTTTTCTTTCCCTCCCTCAGCGCTGGTTTGAAACCTTCAGGAAAGTGAACTTTCTATTTTCTCAAACCAAATGTGGCGCTCCGACAGTTGAAATGAGACCATTGTGCTTTGTATGTGAAGAGGCTCGACTGCCTGGATGAATCCGTCGTCTAAGGTCATGCCAAACATTCCCACAGAGACCCAACGCCGTGTGACTCATGTGCCGCAAATGAGGCTATTCAGTGGAGCCCTCCCTATCTCTCTCTCACATCTCTCAGGACGTTCAACACATCCTTACTGGATGAGGCTGATGCGCTTTTGGCTTTCACAGTCTGGGATGTGAAAAAAACCAACAGTATCCAATTATGTGCAGCTTATTCTCGCTGGTCAGAATCATCAGCATGTTGCAGAGAAGCAGGGCGTGATATGACACTTCCTGTGTGCGGCGGCGTGATGGGCTGCTCATCGTGTAAAAGGTCACATTCATCAGAACTCGTCAAATAAGATCATTCTGTTATTAAAAAAGGATTTCTCATACAGAAATGTCGCCCTGAAGAGTTTCTTCATTTACGTTGTAGAAGCTCAGGGCTCAGAGAAGAGTCCC